CTCAAGATATATCTCTCTTTTGATGAATAATTGTAATAAATTAAGTACTAAGAGAGAAATGAGAAACTTTAATGAATACGATACTTTTACAAATTTGATTCAATCAATTAAAATTTTCAATAAGAAGAAGTAGAAAAGTTTATGCTCAATGTAAGTGTAAAGATCTTCTCCAAAAATATATCTCTTTTTTAAGATTGATATAAATAAGTTAAGCTCAAAGATAAATGAAAAACTTTGATAAGAGAAACAATTCAAAAAATTTGATTCAGTAATCAAAGTTTTTGTTACGAAAAAATAAATGTAAAAATGTAAGTTCAAAGAAGATTTTTCAAAAATATATTTCACAAGAAAGCTCTCTTCTTGTTTTTAATGAATGCAAAGTGAAGTGATATTTATAGCAGTCAAAATGCCACAAACCGAATGACTCATTCGGACGTCCGTATCCTGAATCGGATGACCCAATTAGTCGTTGTGCGTCAGAAATCAGAACGGTTAAAAAAATGACCGCTGGGCGAACCGGGCCGTCCGCGTTGACTTTGACTCTAACTTTTTTTTTTTTTTTTTCAAAATGTGGGCTTTTGAAGAACTTTTTCACTTTAGCTTTCAAGGTAAGTAACATTGTAAAAAAAATTAAATATCAAATTGAAATACTTACCTTTTTGAAGAATAATTTTTTTTATGCAAATGTTTTTTTTGAAATTATTTTTTTGTGCATAAAATGATTTTTGAACGTTTATAATTCATTGCTAAATATCAAAGTATTAGTACCTTTATATTTGAACTAAGAAGTCTAGTTTTTATCTTGCTTTTTCTTAAAGTTTGTCTTTTGAACTCTTGTCTTGAATGATTTGACTTGAATACTTAACTTCCACTTTGATCTTCATTTTGAGTCCAATTTATAATGTGTTGATTTTGGCAATACTTGATTGATTTTAACATAGAACTATCATCACTCAAAATCAATTGTTAAAAATGGTATTAATTTTGTTTGTTAGAATCAAAACATTAAGGATGAAATCAACCATAGGTCAAAAGATGGAAGTGTTGCAGTCGCCTGGACAAGGTGTTCATGAATTTGAAACTGAAATTGATTTACTTTCGAAGCTAAGACACCGGCCATTTATTCTCTCTAATCGGGGCTTGTGAAGAAAATGACGAAATGATTTTAGTGTTTGACTACATGGCTAATGGGACATTGATGGAGCATTTATACAACAAGAATAAGCCTCCTGTGTTGGAAACAATGACTGGATATATGTATGCATAGGTACATCCCGATGCCTTCACTATCTCCACACACGTGCAAAGTAAACTATCATCCATAGGGATGTTAAAACTACGAACCTTCTGTCGATCGAAAGGTGGTTTGCAAAAGTTTTCGACTTTGGTCTATCTAAAATCGAACCTTCTCTCAATCAAACACATGTTAGTACAATGGTTAAATGAAGTTTTGGGTACTTGGATCTTGAGTATTTTCTTAGACAGTAGTTGATAGAAAAATTTGATGTGTATTCTTTTTGAGTTGTACTTTTCGAAGTTTTATGTGGAAGGCCAGCAATTATTCCCGCTCTTCCGAAAGAACGAGTTTAGCAGACTCGACAGTCAAAAAGACCTTAGGAGGAACACACTTGAAGAAATAATTGATTCGTGTATTAAATGGCAGATTACAAGTGATTGCTTGAGGCACTTCACATAAACTGCAGCCAAATACTCGATTGCCCTTCAATGGGATAAGCTATTCGGTGTCTAGAGTATTCTCTGTAGTTGTAGCTTGATTCAAATGGGGAAACGACGGTCAGTCAATAAGAAACCAATGACTATTATTGTAACTCTCTAAAATTTCACAAACATTGGAGTGTTACCAAAAATTTAATTTTCGCAGAACCATAAAATAATATTCTTTAAATAAAAATAATTTAAATATCCATAATGAAAACATAATCACAAGTTAAATAATTGTCTTTGAACAAATTAAAATGACTAATAATTTAAAGGAAAAAAATAAACTTAATGTTTTATCTATTCGATTCCTCTCTGCAGTCGCATTCACCATCCCGTCGAACATAATGAAAACATAATCACAAATTAAATAATTGTCTTTGAACCAATTAAACTGACTAATAATTTGAATAAAAGAAAAAAAATAAACTTAATGTTTCATCTTTTCGATTCCTCTTGGCAGTCGTATCACTATCCCACCACTGTTCCAATCAATCCAAACTAACTTGTAAAATTTTATAAGAGTGGGTATTTAAAAATACCCAGTAAGATACGTGCAATTCCTATATATAATTATATAACAATAAAAAAAACACTTCATACCACTATTATCTTATGGAGTATATCGGTGACCAAACGACACACCTATCTTAGGCCATCTTAAATTTTCGTAGGATCTCTTATCTCTTAATAAAGAACTTGATTGTTCACTGACAATTCATCTATAAATTGCTGAATATAAAAGTATAAGGAAACAAACAACTTGTACAGAAATAACTTACATTGATTGATCAAACGAACTTTTGAAAATATACTAATAATTTACAGATGGTTTATATGAAAGATGCTGTGTAAAATTCTTTTGAAATGAATTGTGGGACAATTGCACACTATTTATAGTAAAAAAATAGTGGTTTAGTCATAGTACAATTGGGATGTAACATCATGTCTATCAAATTAGATAAGGATTGAATTCAAATAATAGAATTATGATCACTTTTAAATTTTATCAACTTAAGATTGCAATCAAACTTTATCCTAATCACAAAAAAATTATCATTATCAAAATCAACATTTATCACTCTATCGATATATAATTATTTGGCTCAAATATGAAAAGAATTTAAAACATATTTCATTTTAGTCTGCATTTTTTTTTTCAAAATATTAAAAATATACTATATAAAACAAATAAAAGTTTATTTTAAAATTTTTGGGGTGTTACAATGACGGCCGGTTCTGTGATTTTCAGGGCCTGAGGCGAACCTTATAAATTAGGCCCTCGAATTTTTTTCCCTTTCATCCCTATGTAGTCACGTCCATGGTCAGTGCGATCTTTAACTAAAGTCTGTTAGCTTTATAAGTTATAACATACTTGAAGATCGAACCTGCGTAGAAATGTGGGGTCATGTTCGAGCCTTGGGGCAATGCAAACTGCCCCATTGTACCTTAACAACCAGGTGAGAAAGGGTAAGAGAGTGAAAATACACTTATTAATTAATTACTCACTAAAAATTAACGACTAAGAGATGACAAAACAATTAGATTTATAAACTTATGTAAATATCAATCATATAGTATAAAAAGTCTACACACATCTGAATGATATTGAAATCAAATTAGATCAATAAAAATGTCATGCAATTTGTAAATTCTGATTTAAGTGAAAAAAATCACCAAAAACTAAAGAAATATGAATGTGGAAAAAATCAATACAAAAGAATTCAACAAAATACTTTGGAACATATTTCAAAATCTCAGATTATAGAAGGTAAATAATAATAATTTAAAAAGATTTGAAGTGCAAGATTTTTTTCAACATAATAGTGATTTTTAGGCCTCTACCTAAACTTTGAGATTTCCCGATCTTATTTATATTTTAGTAATAAAATTAAAATATTTAATTTAAGATTTTACATTGCAACCATCAAATAAATAAAATAAAACTAGAAATTGAAATATGGATAGTACCAGCAATAGATTTGAATTTCGAAAACATAAAACTATTGCAATGTTTTAGAAAGTTTATGTTGAATACCTCTAAAATATTTAAATAAAATCTAAAATTAAATACATACCTATTAATGTAAATGTTGCAAAGAGATGGAACAAAAGAAAAGAAAATTGTAGTGAAAATATAACCATTCGAAGGTCTATTTTACCCATAATCTTTATCAAAATACCAAATTCAAACCCATATATACACTAACGGATAAGAAAATCACCACCACCTTCTGTTGGTAAATGAGTTAGGAACCCATTAATTGGCAAATAATGCATTTTTAAATAGTAGATTGATAGAGAATGTATTGTTAAAAATAAGGAAATTTTTTGAGTTTACGTGTAATATTATTTTATTAAAAAAAAGTGCGGTTGGAAATAAGAAAAATGTATTTTGAAAAAAAAAAAAAAAGAATAAAACGCAAGCTTAGTTTAGGGATTAAGGGTTTTAGATAGGATTAAATTCATCAATGACCATCTAACTTTATATTTAATATCACAATGGCCACCCAACTTTATATTTAGTGTCACCATGACCACCCAATCTGATTTCATTTCACAGTGACTATCCAATTTCATATAATGTTTCACTATGACCACCCAATTTCGTATAACATTTTACCATGGCGACCCAACTTCTTTTCAAAATTTTTATGAATTTTAAAATGGGTAAAATGGTAACTTTGCATTATATATATAAAATAAATTAAAAAATAAAAATAAAAACTTATCTAAAAAAAAGTTACTTAAAAAAATAAAATAAAATAAAAACTTATTTTAGAAAAGTTACTTAGAAAAATAAAATAAAAACTTATTTTTTTTAAAAAAATGTTTTTAAAATAAAATAAAAAATTATTTAAAAAAAGTTAACCCTAAAATAAAATAAAAATTTATTTTAAAAAATGTTCCTTAAAAGAAACTTTTTTAAAATAAAATAAAAATATATTTAAAAATATACGTATTTAAAATTTTAAAAAAAACTTTATTTTTTTAAAAAATTATTTTATATATATAATGTAAAATTACCATTTTATCCTTTTTTAAATTAATGAAAATGATGAAAAGAAGTTGTTTGATTATGCTGAAATGTTTTATGAAATTTGGTGTCAATTGAGAAACGTTATATAAAATAAAAGCAATGGTTTAACCCGTTTTAGATATTTTATTTTCATTTATCATTTTTGCTGCTGGGGTTTTCCTTCAAATGGACATTTCAAAATTCACAAAACCCTAGTGGGTTTGCAGCTCTTTAGGCCGTTCTTTTCATTGCTGTGCACACAATGGAAGAATTCGACGACGATGATTTCAGGGATCTCTATGCGGACGTGGAGGTGCAGGCGTTCTCGGCGATCAACTTTATGCATGAATCGACACAAGTATCGTCGGGAAATGAAGGATTATCGGACAATGTCGCGGAGAAGGAACAAATGGATTGTGAAACTTGTGTTGCAGAGAACATTAGAAATAACGACAATGTCACTGGAACTGAAAATAGGGAGAATATTGGGGAAAGGGAGTGGGATAGTAGGGGTGAAATTGAGGACGATTTAAATATAGTGTTGAATGATGATGGGGGTGAGGAAAATTATGATAGAATTAATAACTATTATAATGAGTTTGGGGTTTGGAGTGTGAGGAAAAATGAAAGAGAGCAGCAAATTGATGAGGAGAAGAATGGAAATAGGAAGGATTTAAGCGGGCAGGGCCAACGACATGGAAGTCCAGAGACAGGGAAAGATCCGAATTCTCATCAACAGAGAAAGGTAGAATTGAATTGATTCTTTTCTTACCCTGTTTCAGTTGTTGAATTATTTCTTCTTATTGAATCTGAGTTTGTACTAAGTTGGAGACTGGGAAGTGTTGGAAAAATGATTTGAGGAAAAGTTGCAAGTGAGCAACTTTGACCAAATATTTGAGGGGGACCAGTTAATCTATTTTGGTGGTTCCCAGGCTGAAAGTGGTCTCCTCCGTGAGGAGACGTCCGTTGTATATTTGGTTGCTCAATATCATTTTGGATGAGTGAGAAATTAAGGCTGTAAGTGAGCCTATTGAAACTTGAGAGGTAGTAGTAGTACTCGGGCCTTTTCAAGAAGCATTTATGTAGTTCTTTTTGTATTGATTACTATTTTTGCTTCACTTTTCTGTATTGTATGTGCAAAAAGGACACCTCTAAAACTCTCTGTTTAAATTTTTAAACATACTTGTTCCCTATATTTATCGACCCTGGTCATTTTAGATTTTGTGCAGACTGCAAACTGAATTTTTTGCTTTATTTTTCCCTGGAAACCAAAGATTTCTTTAGTAAAAAGTAAAAACTACTAAAGACTGTTTCATGCTGCATGGCTTGTCTTATATATTTCAGTACTCGAGAACTCGATCAGCTTCATTTTCAAGTAATAGTGGTTCCAGCAGAGTTGATAGGAAGGACAATGAATACAGTCAGTTAGTACGTAGATTTTGCGTAGAACTTCTGCTCTAATGCTTGAAATTCATATAAGTAATTTCATAACAGGACAAATACCAAGATCAAGTAATGATGGCAAAGAGGACAGCAGTCCACAAGCTTCCAATGCATATGAAGGTAGGTTGGTCATTAATTAAGAAGACTCTGATTTTAAATAACAAATGAAAATTTATAATCTTGCTAAGTTTCCATGTTTTTTTTTAATTTTCAAATTAGGATTTTGAAGGTGGATCTGAACACGAGGAAATAGCCCAAGCTTCTCTTACAAAGAATGCTCAATCCAGACCAAAACAAAGAGTTTCTCCTGCCCCCAAGATTTATAACAGAGATCAACTGTTAGAACTTGTATAGTTCATTAAGAAATTCATGCATGTGAAATAATTGATGAAAAATGTATGTATGAAGTAAATATTCGTTCACATTGAAATCATAAATTTCTCATAATTATTTCAGGCAAATGGCAGATCTGTTCGAGCAGAAGACAATATGGGCAGACATCTACAGGCACGGGGTTCATTAATATTTCATGTCTTACGAACTCTTCTTTTTATTTTTCTGCCAATGCTTATGATATGAGTTGGTACGACTGTTCTGCAGGACTTGAAAGAAGATTACTTGAATTCTTCCACGAAGACAATTGACCGAACAGTTAGTCAAATGCATGAAACATGTGAAAATGGAGGTATTGTTATGGAGGATGACACAGGTCTTCTTCGTTTTAGTAGAGCTATTGGAGATGAGCACCCCAATTTGGAAGAAAATGACGCAGGAAGGGGCAAAACTACCTATAAGAGGTCTTCCCTAAACATTGTTATTAGTTTATATCCTATGTCAATTATGTTCCTTTTTCTTTTGTTAATTAGTACATGTTTTGGTTCTGATACATCTGACTTGTTTATGTCAGAACTCTGCATAGTGTTGTTTATGTCTGAAAATACTAACACTTGCTTTAGCTCAATTTGACTATGATCAGGTACTCCAGGTGTATTCCTGCATGTGATCCTGCCTCTTTGGATTTAGATAAGTATGGAAGTGTTCAGATCTCTGATTCAGAGGAGGATAACCATTATGACACATCTGTCTGTGAGTCAGATGGAATCTCTCATGCGATGGAAACTTCTGATAGCACAAACAAAAGCTACGCTAGGAATGTGTCAGATACAACACCATCAACAGCTGACTCAGAATCTTCTGACAGTGGACAAAGTCAGTGCGTCCCCAGTTTATCTCCTAGTCATTGTGCAGGGCTCAGCGACAACGAGCTTGAAAAGAGTTGCAAGCATTCAAAAAAGCCTTTACCAAATCCAGTGTCCAAGTTAAAGAAGTCAGCCACTTGTGACTATCATCCGACTGAGGACCCTAAAACCCGTAACATCATAGCAAATCCCAGACACAATAGATATTTTAGAAGTAAAGTGCCCATCAGGAAGGACCTTATGACGCATAGGAGATCTGATGATCCCTCTAAATTGAAGACTCATTTGAATGCTGAGGATGGTTTTCATGTATCTGATGCTGAGGGGATCTATGACTTGCATCGTTCAACAGTTAGCTACGACAAGCAGAGTTGTAGACTTGATAATTTTGATTCCAATGCCAAGAAAGATAAATTCTATTGCAGGAGATCAGAGAACTTTTCCACTTACTTCGATGTAGTTTTTCCTGATTATCAATTTGGTCCTGCTTACATGAAAAATCTGTATTGGAACATTCATCCAAGTTTTGGGTATGAATCAGGTTGGTATGATAGTCGAGACATGAATGAAAAACAAACTTTGATCAAGGGAAAACAATCTAAGGTGGACAGTGAAGCTGTGGACCAGGATCGGCATTATGGAAGGAAACGTTCTGTTCAGGACATTGATGCCCACGGTTTTGATGAATCTAGTCATTTTATCCCAAATTTTTCAGCGTACATAGAAAATGGAGGATGTACTCAACTTAATAGGAAAGGGGATGTCATGCAGGTAAATAGAAGAATAAAAAGAGATGAGTTCATTCCTGTCTATAATTATAACAACAATTTTGTGCATGGAAAACACAAGAGGTATATGCCTATTGGTGACAGGGACACTGATCATCTTGAATATAAATACGATCGAAATTTACCTTATAATAGACGAAAAATTAAGAGCCCTGGAAGGAGGGGCAAGTGGAGACGTGACAGCCCCCTTAATGGTTTTGACAACTCATGGTGCACTCCTTACAAAGAACCTCAGGCTCCTAGAGGGGGAAGGTATCAGGGTGCTGCTGGACCAAAATCTGGTGTGCCTGAAACACATGGTAGGCATATGAGATGCTCACAAACCGAGAGATTCATAGAAAGTGGTAGGTCTGGTAGTTACAACAACACGTTTGAAACTGCTGGAGACATCCTGGATCTTCAAGGTCAGGATCATTTTGTTAGAAGAAGACGCTACCAGCAATCTATTCATGCCTTTGACACTAATGAAAGTATAAAAAATAATCATCATGATGAGGATCATTTTTTTAGAAGACGACACCACCAGCAATCTGAAGTACTGGATTGGAATGAAGAGGAATACACTTCCAGGCAGCAGGATGACGCGATGTTCCATTCCAAGGGGCCAAAATATCCTTTTGAGAGAATTTCAAAGCATAAAAATTTTGATGCTACACAGGGATCTGATTGTCTAGTAAAAATTATAGATAAAAGACAGGTCGATACGAGAAGATATGAACTGAAAAGTCAATTTGACCAAAGGTCTAATTTTATCCATCCAGAAAATTGTTGGCAGACACATCCCAGATGCCGGGATTCAGTTGACTCTCACCTTTTTGTGGGGAGAAAGGTACAGTTAAGAAGGTTTCAAACCTCAGTATCATTCTATTGTTATAGGCCTGCATTCTGCATATGTTGGATAAGTTTTATTCCATTATGAGAGTGACACCTTATTTTGTTAAAGCTCTGCATAATTTCCTTGTATCTTTGTTTTGCCTCTTTGATCTTTAACAAGTTATTCATGCTGCAATTTTTTATCTCCTCATATTGTTCCTTAGTGTCCAGGAATCTGAACTGTGGGCCGAATTGCATTGCATGTACGTAATACTGTTCAATAACACTATTTGTATTCATGATTCTCAATCTATCCATTGCAATAAATAGTCTAGATCTTTAATCATCAACATATTTTAAATCAGCATCATTATGCAACTTTCTAGAGTTACTGAACTTTCAGGTAGTAGTTGACCTTGTGATTTCCTATGAACCCTTTTGAATATCTACTTGGGAGTCAAGGTCATATATCTTCGGTGTCTCACTATCACGTCTTTCCAAGTCTTTATTTTTATTATTGTTCCCAAATATTTTAAAAACTTGGTTTAAGGTTCTATCCTTTTTCTCTTGCTTTGGATGCCACCTATTGTTGCTTTGGTTCTTGGTGATACTTCTACTTGATCTTTAGGGCCTACTTGGGAGTTTTTAATTTTCACCCGTTTTGATCGATTTTGGGTGGCACCATTTTTGAGGTTGGAAAAATTAGTGCTTGCTAGTTTTTTTGAGCACCCGTTTTGGATAGTTTAAAAACCACTCAAAACCGGTGTAGTGTAATTTTGAGCGGTTCTCTCAATCCATCAAATCGGCGAGTTTTGACCGTTTCTCATATTCTCTTATAATACTCTTTATAAAATAATTATTTCCAACCAGCCTATTTTGTTCAAAAGTAAATTGTAAATAAAAATATATTAGCTAAAAAATTATATTAAAAAATACTTCTAAGTAAAATATTACTTGTAAGGTAAGAAATGTTACATTATAATTAAATATTACTTAAAGTAAATTATAAATAAAAATATATCAGCTAAAAAATTACATTAAAAAATACTTATAAGTAAAATATTACTTGTAAGATAAGAAAAGTTACATTATAATTAAAGATTACTTATAAATAAAAATCATTTTTATATAAACATTTTTTTATAAAATAAAAACACTGCTAATTAGACAAAAATTTACTTATAAAAATTAAAATATAAAAAATTCACTTAAAAAGTATAAAATTTACTTATAATTGTAAAATTTACTTATAAGTAAAAAATAATAACATAAAATTTTAAGTAAATATTTAAATTTATTTAATTTTTAAAATTAAATATTAACTTATATGAAAAAAAATATCTATAAGTAAAATCTCACAAATGAGTAAAAAAAATTTCATATAAATGAAAACTTTACTAAGGGATATGTACATAATTTTATTCTTTTATAAAACTTTAAGAACCAATGAATAATAAACTCCCAAGCATAGGTTGGACAGCTTTAAAAGTCGCTATTAAAACCACTCAAACTCGTTCCGCTCATAAACCTTCAAGACCGATTCTTTAAAAAACGCTCATAACTGGTACGGCGAAACTCCCAAGCAGGCCCTTAAAGATTCTGTCGTCCACAACGGTACATATAAATTCCACAACTACAATGAAATTTAAGTTGTATTGGGTGTCAGATGTTCTCTTTGAATTTAGTTCAAGATGACACACTAGTATCTGTGTTTGCTGTTTGCATGTTCTTGACTGCATACTTTCTGCCATTTATTTTTTTTCTGCTCGTTTAACGTCAACAATACATTGCTACATGACATTTTTGCCTCATTCTTGAACAGTTGCTTGTTCACTTTAACTGCCTTTTGGTTCATTGTAGTTTCCTACAAATGCATGCAATGGAAGCTCTTCATGTTGCCTAATGTATATTGGTTTTACTGACAAAGCGGCTGTCTGTCCTTCATTAAGAGTATCTAGTATTTGATTTGACGTCTAACTTGTGAAAGCGTATGCTGCAGTTATCAAGAAGAAGCTCTGGAGCTGGACACACAATGTACTATGATAGGCACGATTACATGGACTGGTATAGTGATCCTGAGCAGGAAACTCCCACTGGCTTGAATGTTTCCGGTTCAGAGAAGCCAGCCTTAGCCAAGACGGAAAAAACAGACACTAACCTGGGTGACAAAAGTTGGAAAAAGTTCCCAGTTGCTCAGCAGAAAAAAAATCTGGATATTGAGGAAGGTCAGATAATTAGTGATGAAATTAATGAGATATCTGTGGAAAGGGAAATCACATCAGAACTTATGACACAGGTCGATTGTACGGAGCACACTGGAACTGCTTCGAATGGTAATACTGTTGTTGGAGAAATCAATGATCTAAGAATTCAAGAGACTATAGCAAAGATGGAAAAACGAAGAGAGCGGTTTAAGGATCCCATCACCTCTAAAAAGGATGCGGAGAAGACTTCCCAGCATTTGGTAGAGTTGGAGTTTGAAACTGCTGCAAATGGTAATACAGTTGTTGGGGGAATCGATGATCTGAGAATTCAAGAGATTATAGCAAAGATGCATAAACGACAACAGCGGTTTAATGTTCCCATCACCTTTAACAAGGATGCGGAGAAGACTTCCAAGCATTCGGTAGAGCTGGATGGTGAAACTGCTGAAACTTGGCTAAAAAAACCGACACGAAAGAGGAAGTGGGTCGGGAATTAGGTAGCAATTACTGGTACATCTCGAACCTCGTTAACTAAGAAATGGAACTGAGATTCAGGTTCACATGGTAACCGGTTGTACTTGTGCAAGTTTGTATTCAAAAAAGAAAAGGAAAAAATTACAGGATTCTTTAGGAATCTCACAGCATGAGTTGACCCATGCTTTGAAACGAGCTGAGCACGAATCCTCGTCCCAAAAAAAGGGGGTTCTCTTGACCCACCAACTGGCGAGTTGGTGGGGGCGAGCCGCTGGCCCAAATCACTTTTTGAAATTTTTATTATCAAATTCAAATGAGATCTTTTGTTGTTTTAGTGTAAGAATGTCACGAATTTCTAAACAGTGAAATTGAAATTTGAGGTAGTAAAAACTTTCCTCCTTTATCCGGTCTAATATTATTTATAGATAAAGTTAAAATTGTACACGAATTTATATTTTGCATATGATTCTTGTAAAAATTAAATGAAGGGAGATGTCCACGGGCTTCCCAAACATGGAGGTGGTATAAACATGGGTGTACACCCTGAGATATACAAGTATCATTTTCCTTGAATAAATGCAATAATTTTGCAAATGAAGTACCTCTTTAGTCTGTAATCGCAATACACAACCACTTGCATAACGATTGGAAGGGCACCTTCTTCAAGACAATGTTGTACACATACATGTACTTCTATTCTGTTTGATTGTAACTTTTCACGTGTTAAATCTCGATACAAAAATACGATTTTCCATCAAAGACCTTACGTTTTGGAGTGCTGAAAAGTCCGTGGGTGGTGTAAATAAATCATGGGCAATATTGGACAATAACAAATGGTGGAACCACCGTGCATTCCGCGATAGAGTAAATTAAAGAAGTCAATCCTGATCAATGTTTCATCCAATACAAGTGCAACAAGCATATTGTTGACCCCAATTTTTGCACGGGTGAAGTTAGCTATGTCAATGAGCCGAGCCGAGCCGAGCCCAAGCAGAAAAAAAAAGCTCGGCCCAAGCTTTGGCCCGAGCCTTAGAAGGGCCGAGCCAGCTCAAATTTTTTTTTTTTTTAGAAAAAAATTTTCAGCTATTTTAGATTTTTAAAAAATATATATTATTTTTAATTAATTACGGACCGGCTCGAGCCTAGGCTCAGTTCCACCGAGCCCGAACCGGGCCGACTAGGACTTTTTCCGGACCGAACCCGAGCCGTCTGAGCCGACGAGCTTTTTTGTCACCACTAGGTGAAGTAACTAATAGATAGATATTGGCTCCACCCACATATTGTAGACAAGCTCATGGACACTTGGATAAACCTTTAGAAGTGCATGGCCTTCTCCGGAGGTGGGGTAGGCGGTCGTGTACACTCCGACGATCAAGTCAGTTGATGGTATGTGTATGTTCACGTGTGAGATAATCAAAAGACATGAGCCACGTTAGTGTACGGGCACCGAGGTTCACAAGATAATATGAATAATATGATGTGTTTGTTTATGACAAAATTATGATTAAAATAATCTACTTATACAATTATGAGTAAATTAACTAAACTAAATGTAAATTATGCTAAATGCAAATTGACGTGTTTAATAAATGTTGAACGCACTACGATCCCGAATTTTCATGTAATAATCTTTTTTAACATTATTTCTATAATATGATAATATGATTGAATTTTGACAAATCAATATTCCTATTTTATTTAACAATCTATCTCGAGTAATGTTAAACCTACTCTCATATATGATTCGACTATATTTCTATGACGAATGAGAACATACAAGCCTGCGTTGAATTTTTATAAACACTTAAAAGATTTACATAGAACATAGCGGTATATTTCTATCCCCTATCAGATCCTATGACGATTTACATTATATCGAATATATTTTTCTTCTTTCGAATGCATAAAATAAGTCATCAAATTCATACAGTTACCGTACACAATAATCGTAGACAAAAGATAATCATGTAAAATATTCAAAATTCAAAAACATGTTTTCAATGTCAAATATTTAAAATTAAAGATTAAAAGTTCATATTATTGGTTCATCGTTCTCTTAACAGATAAATATAGTCTAACATGTTATGAAGAAGGAAATAAAAGAAATATTGAAAAATAGACACCACCCAAATAAATATTGAATTGAATTTTCGAGTTTTGGAATCGATTTTCGTATTTCTTGCCTCCTTCTATGCTCCAAAGTCTGTTAGAATGTGTCTCCCCTTCGTTGGACAGCCTTTGGTCTTCAAAAACATTCCAACATTGTTTCCATAAAAGTTTTATTCAAATAAGAAAATTAGATTTTTTCTTTCGAAAATGTGTTGTGATGTGCTATCACAGAGTACAAATTCATGCTATAGCACAGTTCAATAATTTCAACCTTGGAATTCCCTGAATCATACTATGCGATGCATGGAGAGAATAACTATGCTATAACATATTTCAAGTGAAATTGCATTCTTTGCGTTTTGGTCTCCGAACTTCGTTTTCTCGTTTCTTGACCTCTTTTCTCAATTCTTCTTCTTCTTCTTTTTCCAATACTTCACATCTTCGATAAATTTATCTTCGACTCTTTCACGTCTTCGTTTTTTCTTCCGAGTCATCTTTCGGATATTTTCACTTTGGTCCCCTAAACTTTGATTTTCTTTCATTTTAGCCATTTTTTCGCTTATTTCTCATAAATTCCATCATGTTCATCAATGTTATTCTACAAAACATAATTTTTATAAAATTAAGACATATTTCGATATATTTACCAACAATTGTCCATATTTTGTGCCCTAAATAAGTGTATAAACTCACCTATCAAATTTTACAAAATTGAACAATTGTTTGTCTTCTAACAAACTGTGGCTTAACTTCAAACAAAACATGGTTTGACAACCTGTCGTGTCCTAGGATATGAATTTAACCATCAACGCAATGAATACACTATACCCATTACATGCAAAACTCAATGTGTGTGAGTGTAAACTCATGTAAACATATCAAACTCATAATTGGTTCCACTCCCGACGAGCAGTAGTCAAATATTTCATTTCTTCACTCGAGAGGTACATCCCCCCAAACTTATTCTTTTCACTCAATTTTCTCGAGGTGCGTCCCAAAATTAATTCTAATTCTTACTCTCTCTTAATTTGGATGGATCTTACTATTATAAGTTCACACTTCAACAAGTCGAGATTTTCCTATATTTTTTATTGCTTCAACCTTTACGATTAAACTAAACTACTTGCCTCTCATCAAAAGTATAATTCCATCAACCAAATGTCTTAAGGCTTAATCAATGTAATTGTGTATTTTCTCAATTATTCCTGCTTTCTCTCTTTTTTTTCAAACATCTTATCATTTGCTTTCTATATAACTCGAGTAGCGAGTTTTAAGTTGATGACTTCCAAGTTATATGACCATGGCAACACGTTTTAAACCCTTACAGGTTTAATCACTTGAATTATACATGCTCGAAAAGATGATTTTATTCACACATAGACTAGTACCCCCAACCCACCCCCCCCACCACCACCCCCCCCCCCCCCCCCCCCCCCCCCCCCCCCCCCCCCCCCCCCCCCCCCACAACCCCCTCCCTTTTGGACATCCAGCATCTAAAACCAACACTTAACTTAAGACTTTCACCTCATTTTTAGCTCATTGATTTTAGACAATCCACGCAAGATATTTCATGCACATAAACCCTATTTATCTCAATGTTCCCTTATAACAGCTAAATCATCTCCAAACTACTCTAAAAATAAATTATGGATAAATACACTAGATATTTTTCGGATTTAACATACTATGTTCCAACTCTTCTCTAAGTAATGAGCCAAATTACCAACTTAATATGTAAAACATGAGTGTCTTGCATAAAGAATGTCAAATCTTATATAAACAAGTATTGACCAATCTAATTATGCAATATTTTCACCATTTATGATCCATACTTATTTCAATATTCAATATTATTTCCGGCAAGGTCATTAAACTCACACAAGCACACAAAACAATGAGCAAATACTAAGAAATAAATAAAAACTATTACATTTTTTCCACGCGAGCAATCACACAAAAAACAAATTATGCATAAATATTGATGAATGACAAATGTGTCATGAAAATTCTGCCACTCCTAAACTTATACAAAACAGTGTCCTCAATGTAAGAGCAAAAATAATCAAAATAAAGTAATAAGGATCAGAAACTCCCCGAGAGTAAATGCAGATAGGTAGAAGGATTAGGCTGGTCCAGTTGGTGGACGATGTGACAATCACCACTTTTCTTTGTTACTGGACTTCAATTTTCTATTTCAATAATTCAAAATAAATATTAATGATAGCAAATAAAGTTTAAATATTTATAATATATTCACACCAAGAAGAATTCTAAAATTCTAATATTAAGAAGATTGAAATCTAGATGCAACCCTAAGAATGCATATCACATCAATGTGAGTTTAATGTAATGTTAGGATGTTAACGATGGGCCAAAATAAAATGAACTCAATAAGTAAACATGCTTAAGTTACTGATGCAAATCTTAAAGTACTGCCTAAAATGTGTTAAAAAACCGTTTAAATGCAGGAATTCATAAACTAATGCAATCCCTAAAACTATTTGTAATGCAATAGTTAATCAAAATAAGTAAAAGGATAGAAAAATGGGTTGCCTCCAATTAAATGCTTGATTTATAGTCTCAAACTCAACTTTTGCACAAGTATATGATGTCACTTTGAATATTGCTTTGGATGTCATGCTTAACTTGTTCAATTTGACTTTATTCCATATTACAATTTTCCTCCAAATTTTAACCCTTCCGTGCTCCAAGTAATATGATTTTTCCTCATCGCTCGTTTCAAACTCAAAAATATACACCTCAATCTCCGCATAAGGTTTAATCACAAATCAATTTTTGAGCAAACGAGAAAGTTGAGGGATTGCATGCTAATTTCCTCTTCTTTGAATATTACTGACTCTTTGCCTCCCGTTATGATTGATTTCTCGATCTTTTCATGATCCTGTTCTTTAAT